CTATCATAAGCGACAAAAAAAATATGATTGAGCCAAGTTTCTTATGAGTGATGAGATGTTGTCGGTACACCTAACTACATTAGATGGATAAGTAGAACTCGTAGTATCGAGGAGGTCAACATCCTATCCCAACAAAGTGAGGGCTCCATCACAACGAGAGAGCTTGGTATGATTATGCTTGAGCGGGCATTTCTCGTTGGCAATTGAATTGGTTGGCATACATAGACTGTCAACCTCACACAAGAGTCAAATAATCTCTTTGTGAGACTCCCTGGTTATGCGCTCCCGAACTTCAAAGAATAGACTCGAGGCACTTTCAGTAGAATAATATCTTTAGAGTGGGAAGAGACAAAGGCTTGATATTACTGGTTTTGTGATTGCTCCACGGTGTGGTGGGCATTAGAGCGGGACATTCCGTGTGGAAAGTATTGTATTTGATGACCATTCAACAAGTTTTGCATGTCCTTCGGTGGTGGGATTGTTTTTACCACAAACAATGTCGATCTAATACGTGTTAGAAAATACAATACGGTATAATAGTAAATTATTGTCTCAATGTAGTATGAAATCTATGACAAACATAAATAACATTGACAAAAGTAAAAAAAAACCATAAGTTTTTTACGTGGAAAAATCACGGAGCTCGCCTTAATCAAAATGATATATTGTAAGTTCGTTAGTACACATACAAGTCATTGTCCTTCAGGTCAAAAATAGTTACATAGTTTCTCGAAGTATAATGATCATATGTTGAATGGCTTATTACTAAACACTCACGTAGTGGTTGCAGTCAGAAGTAGTTGCCAGAACTTTGGCACACTGTTTTTGAGGTGTATTATGACACATATTTTGTAATAATTCACTGGTCCATAGTGCGCCTCCTCACTCTACAACATTGGCCGTTACTTTGCATCATGCTCTGTCACTCAGCAATGCATGTCTTCGCTCTGCACAATGTACGTATGTCATGATGTTAGAGAGACTTTATTATTATGAACATGACACGATTGATGGCGGTCAATGAGTAGTGGTGGAGGATGATTGACTGTTGCAGGCTAATCAAGCTCTTAATCTTTTGTTCGTCTTTTATGAAGGGGGAAAAACCCTACTTATATAGTTCGGGAGAGGCATTCCTACAAAAGAAATGAATCTAGACCATTATATCAAATGCCTTGAAGAGATTTCATCGATTGAATGAAGTATTGTGGACATTTGATGGTTATAACAATGCTAAACATAGTGTTCTTTGACTCGTTGGATTCTTTTTATCAAGATGCTTGATTTGACTATAAACTTGTCATATTTAAAATCTAATTGACATTCCAATTAGGTGTCAAACTTCTCTCAAAAGTGTCTTAACAGTTTAATGCATGCACAATTTGACTCAAATTTGATCAATTTCGTTATCGTTGGTCTGTCTTGTTGGTTGGACAATTTAAATATAATTTTGTTGAAATCAAAGTTATGGCAATCCTTAATTTGCGCTTGAAAGTTTATTGCTAAAAAAAAATTTACGATGTACGTGTTAATCGCATCGAAATTTTTGTCAAATAACAAATTTTATCGATGACTTATCAAAACCACTATGACTAAACCGAAGCCAATTAAAAATCTTGTTGGTAATTACTTCAAAATTTCACAGCAGTTAAAAAACACCACAAAATGTAGTATGGATCCGTTAGAAGTAGATTTGTTTGGGACAGTTGCGGTTGTTTAAAGAAACAACTGCGAAGCTATTGCAGAAGAAGCTGAAATTCAAAAAGTTGTTATTATTGTTGTATTAATATTTTTTTAAATCAACAACTTTTTGACAGTCATTGTACTTAGTCAGACTCAACAATAAAACATGGCTTAGGCATTGTTTTTTGAAAAAAATAAACGAAAAAAATATGAAGTTCGACACTCAGCCGCTCTGCTGCCGCAAACACTATTGTCAAGGAACCAACATCTGACAACCTGTAGACTTTCAAGCAAAATTTCACTTGATTCTTTGGACTCCGGAGTAATTAAAACTCTAGCAAGGGCAATTCCGATTATTGTCACTGTAAATGAAAAATGTATCAGCACAAATCTTAAGGCAATCCAACGGTCAAGTGAGAGGGCAATCAATGGAGGATCAACCGATCAGGGGATCATCTATTCAATTGAAAATCATAGGACATAAAAGTTCCCCAAAAGCAGTCATAAAGATCGAGTCGTTTGAAGATGCAACAATCGGTCCATAGCGAATCGATTGAAGCACTATATAATAACCGACTTGAGGCCATGAGGCACATCAAAGAAAAATGATAGAAAAATAATAGTCAGCAGCCACCAATCACCGAGTCCTGTATAGATCAAATGGAGCTTTAATATTTTTGATATGTGTAATTTACTGAAAAGACACCCCCCTCCATACCCCGTGTATAGAAATAAGAGGTCAATTTTCAATAAAAAGGTACACGCTTTCTAATGTTCATTACCGCCTCTCTTTCTTCTATTTCTCTCTGTAACACTATTTATTGGCGTGCTTCCTCAACATTCTTTATTCAGCTGCGTGCATATAAAACTAAACTGGGCTGTTTTCATACATGCCACCCATTTCCATTGTATTTACTTATCTAACGCCTAAAATTATTTTTTACATTTATACCATCCAAAATTTTCATATCACTTAAATAAATCTAAACCGGGGTGTTTTCATACATACCACCCATTTCCTATGCATTTACATATCTAATGCCTAAAAAATAAGTTTTTACATTTATATCATCCAAATCTTTCGTATCACATAAAAAAAAACATTCATTTTTTACATTTTAAAAAGTCAAATATGTCCTTTTATGTATAGGTAAGATAGTATGTATGTAAAGGCTGAAGTGTGGTTATTAAATGTGTAAATATATAAAAATTGAGTGGCATGTATGCAAATCTTCCTAAAAATAAATAACAATCAAGGGAACCGCAACTCATCCTACTACTTTTTTATTTTCTTCATCACTGTTTTAGATAATTAATTTTTGCCATCGTTGCGTTCATCTTGCCGGGTTGTGCGGTTTGACCGTAATTTTGTTGAAATCGGCGTTTTTGGTGATTCTTATTCTTAATTCATGTTTCAAGTTTCTTGCCAAAATTTTTTTGAGAATTGCGTCAATCGCATCGAAATTTTATTGATGACATCTATACTTGTGGCCACTTCCTAAAATATCAACCAAACTTTCACTAAATTCAACCCTTAGCCGAACTTGTTTGTTTTAAATTTTATTAAAAAATCATGTTTTAAATATAATATGATAATTTCTCGAAAATTTAGTATTTTCTTATACACAAGCTAAATAAAAAAATCGAACAACAAAATTTGTTGAAACTACTAAATCCACCTTACTAGTACTTGAAAGTTTCATACTAGTTCAGAAACATACATATTTTTTTGGGCTCTTAGAGTTATTTGAAAAAATAATTATGAACCTACTGTAAAATAAGCTTATTTAAGATGAAATTAAAATAAATTGATTAGAACCATTAAACTGATTTTAGATAATATTATTAAATTTTTTTTTAAATTTAAGAAGCTTGATATGATCAAATTTAATCATAAACACTAACAATTAAGGATTTGTTAAAATTACTGAGCATCATTAAACACATACTTGTCACTTCAGTGTTTCATACAAGTTTTTATCTTTACATACCTGTCACTTCAACTTGGATATTTTTTTTAAATGAAAATAGTATCATTTTATATATGATGATAACATTTTGAGTGCAATATATGAAAATATGAAAGCATAACTATGCAATAAGTAAATACATAGGTTAAGATTGTGGGCTATGTTATTGAAAAATATAAAATAAACGGGGTAGACCTTAGGTAGAGTCCCAGGGCAATTACCCCAGAAAATAATTTAGCATTTTACCCCTCCAAAATTATCAGTTCTACCCTCCTGAAATATTACTTTGTTCTTTGTTGGCCCAGCTCATCTCACATTGAGTCTAAGGGAAAAAGAGCCTAGTTCAGGTTTCGCCTTGAAAATAAATATAAACGACTTTTAAGTATTAATCAAACAAAACTTTTACTTTAACATTTTAATATTCTAACATTTAAATATAATATTTTAATCACCCAAAATATTAAATATTACATTTTAATCAACTAGAAATATCACCTAAAATCTTTTCAAATGGACAAAAAGAGGATAATTGTAATGAAAAAAATAAATAAAATGTTATATTAAAAATTTATATGCTGAAATTATTATGTGGTTTTACACATCAAGTTTTCCGACTCTCCTATTTACATATCAAGGCCCCAAAACATTTTATTTTATATAGTGAGGTCTTCCAGTGTGTTCTTTTCATCTCGCCACGCCAACACCGCAATTCGCCTCCCTCCATCTCGACATTCAGCTTTGAGAGAGGGTCGCCGGAGGGGCCCGTGATGAGGTAATGGGAGCGAAGGGATTACCCTGATGTACACTCGTAGAAGAAGCCATGATTGTCCTTGGTTCGCCTACACATGCCTGTAGGTTGTGTTTAGGCAACATACATAGCTTGAGCTAGCAAGAATTGTGCACGCATACAGCTCCAACGAGCTTCGATTGACCATAGAGCATAAGTGCATAACATCATCATCTCGAGCACAAAGAACTCGAAGTCGAGCGTGGTGCACAAGGAATCCTTGCTTAAGAATTGGTTCATGTCGAAGCCATCGCTTTTAATGAAGGGGCTTGTGGCGTGCACAAAGAGCCAGTTATGCGAGCAAACAAATCGTGAGACAAATGTGAGAGCGTTGTGGGTGACGAAAGAGGTAGGGAAGCATGTAGAATGGTGTGGTCGGTGAGGATGCCCTGGACTAGTTGGCCAAACAGCTGAGGCCCATGATGAGACGAAAACAACACAAGAAGCATGACAGAGATCTCGGTCCATAAATAAGATATTGTAAATATAGGGGTTTGGGGGGCCGTGGTATTTAAAAACCCCAAACTATATTCAAATTATTTGGTTATTTGATATCTTGAATAAAAACGCCGGCCCAGCCGGCCTCTCGACCGTGGGGAGGGAGTCTCGCTAACTGGGTAGAAGGAATCGGCGTGAAAAGCAAAATGAGAAAAGATTTATACGAAGAAGGATGGTAGCCCGCAACCCTTCATCCTCGAGATTGTTCGCCGAGGCGAGAAAGCATCACGAATCTCCGAGATGTTAATGTCGAAGAATGCTAATGTTTTCTCCGTAGCGGCAGCGATCCTGGCTTTGTCCACGGCGTCGATTTTAGCCGAAGCCGGGGACAAGAATAATGTGTTTCAGCCATGCGAAGATGCGAAAATCCAGCGATGGGACGGGTTCACCTTCGGCATCGCGTTCTCAGATCGCGATTCTTTCTTCTTCAATGGTACTCAGCTCTCCCCATGCGACAGTCGCCTCTCTCTCGCCAACAAGGGTGCGCAATTGGCCGCGTTTCGTCCCAAGGTCGACGAGATCTCCCTTATTACCATCAATACCACCACCTCCTTCGCTCCGGTGAGATCAATATCACTCTAATTCAACTTTTATGATTGAATTGGGTTTTCTTTTTAAATCTGTTGTCTATGGCTCTGGTGCTATTTTATGATTTCATTAGTTTTGGTAATACCTTTCTCTTTGAAATTCTTTTGGTTATGTTTTCTTATTGGGAGCGCAATTTCGATCTCCGTTCCATTATCCACCCCATTCTACAGATTCCACCCTGTAAATCTAGTCAGATCCATTGAGGCTCGTTACTGAACCAAGATTTGGTGGATTTTTTCAGATGTGAGTCGTATGACAACCATTTTCTCGACTTTAACTCCCCAACCAGTAGAGACCAGTGTTGACTATGGACTATGGGAATCAGTAAAATATTTGTTTTTTTTCAACTTCTTGTTTGGTTTTGTGTCTCACAAAAATCTTGCTATCAAATTTGCGACAGAAACAGAAGTTACACGACTATTAAATTATTTTGGTCTATTTTCTTTACATATAAGTAAATGTATAAATTATTTATGAATAATATAAACTATAATGCAATGTGCATACTTACCCAATACATGAGTTGTATATGCAGGTACGGTTTGTATAAGTCAAGAGTTTTATTCCTCTTCTCATCCAACAAGAGTGCAAATACATCACATGTTCATTGGCCAAACATTGATTTTCCAAAAGTTCATCGATCTATGATCGAGTTATTATAAAATATTCTTTGAAAAATATTGCATCACTCACTCAATATCAACATATAAAAGAATTGATAATAAATATTATTTTTTTATTTAGAACTAATTAGAAATTGAAAAAAAATTACTGATTTATCACTGAGCATTTCACATTATTGATCGATGACCTTTGCCATATGTAAGGATAGCTTATCCATTGTCGGAAACTTCATAACAATATGTACATCTTAATGCTTGATATTCAAATAACAAAAGTATTTTAGAATACAAGGTGATGTTATGGAACACTTAATAATTAATACCTTTTATGGGCAATCATCAACAATAATTCTATCAATGATTGTCTCCTCCTCGTCCTCCTGCACAAGAACAGGAACCTTGTTCCCTTGCTCGACCTCCATAGATTTAGCTCCCTTTGATTCCTCCTTGGTTCCTTCCTCGATTGACATAGATTGAAGTGTCTTTGATGCCTCCCAGGTTCCCTCTTCCACTGTTGTAGTTTCAGGTCCTTCTGCCACCTTCTCGTATGGTTTGATGGCAATGCCCTCAACTTTTCTTTTCTCGAATTAAAATACTATGTAGGGGGATTCTAAATCCTCTTCTTCCGACTTTGTCCTAATTTTACTCTTCGGACAATACTGCTCAGATAAGATTTGTTGACTGGTTTTCCTTTTTGTTTTCTCACAACAATTGATATTCTCATTTACAATTGGTTTATTTTACTTTACAACTCATTGTTTTATGATTCTTGCTTCTCAGTTATTGAAGAAGTTGTTTATATCTATTTTTGCTTCATGATTAGTTGGAGTTGGAGGTTGAGATGGAGTTTTAGAAGTAGATGGCTCAACAGAATGTACAGGAGGTAAGTATTGGGTCGAGATATTAAACTCAGGGTCTGTTTGGGGCAGCTGCAGCTGCACTGCTCCAGGAAGTAGCTGCAGGGAAACTGCTGTTTGTTTGGTGCAACAGCTGTATGTAAACAGCTGTGGAGCGGCTGTTTGAGGAAAAATAACCATGCTGCATCTGTTTGGTAAAACTGTTTAAAATAAAATAGTAAGAGCTAGATTACTGAAACTTCAGACGCCGAAATTCATTTATAAACGAAAATAAATTTTTAAATACACCACTCACTTAATATTGTGCTCCAAAAAACATAAACATGAGACTTTTAAGGCTAAACTTTAATTACAAAAAATGTTCAAAATTGCAGGTACCACAAACATAAAAGCAAATTCCAGATCCATGTACGAGCATGAATGAAATAGCCGAAGGTCAGCTTCACAGAGCAACCACAAATAAAAGAAAATTTCACTGCAGCTAGAGGAATGTTAAAAAATGCGCACAAACTACTTTTTCAAATCTAACTGGAAGCATAACCCAAAAGAGAATAACGTCTACCCACCACCAAATCTAACAAGAGAGCTAAAATAGGATCATGGGGTGATCTTTTTTATGATCGAACAACCAACATAACACTATAAGACACTCCAAATTAACCCAACAATAGATCTAACTTTTGCGATAAAACCAAATTCCAAATCTTAAGAAACCCTTACGAGAACATGAACAAAGATGAGAAATAGGTTTATTACTCCTGCTGTGAGTAGATCATGAGAACGTAGATCATGAGAACAGGAGAGAAGGATGAGAAGAAGAGAAAGGAAGACGCACAAGAACAGTCTCTGACCGGAGAAGAGGAGGGGAAGGGATGAAGCTCGTGGCTTCTCTCCAATCTCACGTGATAGGGCAAAGGGACAAGGGGTAAAAAATGCGTTCGTAAAGCTGGGCCGCGCCTATTACCTGACTGCTTGGTTTTCGCTTGGTACCGCGGGAAGTGGCGGCAAGTCCGCCGAAACAAACGCGAAAAAAAAAGTATGGCGGCACCGCGCTGCAATGCCGTCGCCTGCCCAAACGGGCTCTCAATGGTAAGAGGGCTACAAAATGAACTCAATGAGTCATAGGTTAATGGATAAAGAAGTATATGAGAATCAAAGACCTATAATAACCAAAATAACTAAATTATCATGCTGTGTATGAAAATATAATATCACCAAAATGTTTGGAAAAAAAGTTGAAATCCCGATTACCTATTCGGTTGTAAGTCCAGAGAAAAAATATCAACCATTCTTGTGCTCCAATGTCTCATTTTCAACCACCCGAGCATGCGAGGCATTGTGTCACTTGAGGTTGGAGCAAGGATAGATACGTGATCATAAAACCAAAGCCGTAAAAAATTTTTTTTTTTAGTTCAAATGCCTTAAAAGTATAAGATTGTTGATATATCAAACATACTAACCGTTAACAACAAAACAAAACTATTCATGTATCCTGGAGCTTGATTCTGCCTTATTTTTCAAACAACATCAAATTACTCAACCAAAAAATCACTAATGGCTCCTGACCTATTGAAGGAAGAGAAACTGTTTATTTTCACCAAAATTATACAACCCACTCTAGACATTGTAATTTCTTGATGAAAAAATAAGTTTGTTAGCAAAAACTTTATATACAACTCTACAAAATTTTTTGAATAATCTCCTGAAACAAATTCCAACAACTCATTCTTTATTTGTATTGAATTTACAGTCGATATGAGATATTTACTCCAATTCACAGCTTCTCCACTATTCGGCTTGCCGGTAAGCAGTGCTTTCTTGTCCGAATTGAAGCTTAAACATTTGCCACATATTCTAAAAACCTTCTGTTCAGTGTCCCAATATTTCAAAATTTGTAGGGTTAGTTAATTTTTCTGTTGATAATGAGACATGTTGAAAAACTGAAGATATAATAAATCTTTCAAAGTTGTTTTAGTTTCTTCACTAATACGCTGAAAAACTGAATCACATAAACTCTAATAGAAGAAGGTCTGTATCTGCAGGTCAACATTTTTGGGTTCATGACAATGCAAAATAATTACATAGTAAGAGAATAAACATTAGTTCAAACAAAAAATTGAACAATTCCATCATAATATATTCAAAATATCATTATAATATCAAAATAATACCACAAAAAATACCATCAAAATATCATCATCAGAATACCAAAAATACCATCAAAATATCATTATTAAAGTATAAATTTGGTAGTATTCTTGTGGTATTGTGTTAGTTTTATGTTGATATTATAGTAGTTTTCTAGTGGTATTCTGGTGGTATTGGAGTTGTAATGGGGTAGGAATTTGCTGGTAGTATGATGATATTGTGGTATGTTTTTTGTAATATTGTGGTTGTGTAGCACTTGTATTTTAGTGTTTTTTGGTGGTATTGGGTCCTAGGTGCTCTTGGATTTTTATTTGGGTTGTAATTTGTTTGTATTATGGTGGTATTGTGATTATCTCATGGTGGTATTTTGGTGGAACTGAAATTGTAATGTGTTAATATTGTGGTGTTAATATGATAATATTATGATACTCATGATGGTATAGTGAGAGACACTTGCAGATAGTATTTACATGGATTCTTATCCAAAGGCAAAACATGAATATATATGGTTAACATGAGTATTTTCTATTTTTCCAAATACAATGTACATATAAACCTCCCAAAGGTAAAATACATTGTTCTACAATGACAAGTCAAGAATATATAATCTTATAATGAGATACTTGGAGGTAGTACATTGAACAAATGAGACAAATGAAGCAATACACTTCTCGATTACATGCGGTTCACACAAACAAAAGTTAAACACTTGAAAATAAATACAATTAAATTATTTTTCCTAGTTACCTCCTTAATTTCTTCTCATTTCTTTGCTATTTTTTTCCTTCATTGGTTCCATTATTGCTGGTGTAAACCCTAAACATTATATATTGAACAACTACATTAGTTGCGATGATTTTATAACCCAAAGCTCGTTTGAAACATATCAAACAAATGACCTTGTTTAGCTTATTTGTAAAATCATAGGCAAAATTTTGAGCTCGTACCATGCTGCGCTTCCCAGTACCGACGGCGAAAACCCTACCCTGACCTCCCTTCAAAGTTCCGGTGGCGAAAATCCTAAACCCTCGGCCTCGCTTCGAACAGGAGAAACCCTGACTATCAAAATCACAGAGGAAACCCTAGCCCGTAAGAAATGGAAATGATGCTGGAGTGTGTATTGTTGTTTTCAATGTAATGGACGACATTCGAGCAGGATCAAATGAAAAAATTACATTTTCATATTTTTCCTAATTCGCAAAACCAGGTCCCACCACTTTATGACCCCATATTATTGATATTTTCTCCATTCTTGGAACACCACTTTTTTAGTGGACTTAAATTTGTGTCTGATATCTACAATTCTACTTAGCAATTTCCTTGCCAACCTCTTCGTGAAGCTTCT